AAATAAATAATAAAAGTACATGGAAAGGAAATGCAATTAGGTTGAATGGAATCTGCATAAGTATTTAGTGGGTTCTAGAATGGCACTGCCACCATGGGATAAGTTGTTCTGAGAAGTAAGAAATCCTAGATATTGGACGTAAACTGCCCTATGCTTATAAAAAAGCATGGAAGAATACAGGGAGAACAAAGTATATGTAAAACATAGAAAGAGTAAGTGGTAGGGGAGATACATCTTTTTTCAAATTCAGACAGATTTTTATTTTATAATGAAAATGGATCTCCCTCTTTCCAATACCAAGTAATACATGCACATTGTAAAATATCCAAGACAATACAGAAAGAGGTAAAGAAGAAAGTTAACATGATTGATAATCCTATCACATTCTATTTGCATGCATACTCAACTAGACTTTTTTCTAGGTATATTTATGCATATCAGTCAAGTAAAAATGGAGTCATACAGGGTCTATTGTGAATTGTTGTTTTTCATTAAAATTGTAACCTTAATATATTTCTGGCTTTAGCTATTGTTTTCCCTAAATGTAAAACCTCAAACTATAAGCTATTGATTTTTAATGGCTATGTAGTAGCCCATTATATAGATGTACTGTATTTAGCTAATTACTGTTGAATAGTTTATTTTTGAATATTTCGATGTTACAAACCACACTGTGATTAACATCTCTGTACATTCATTACATACATCTTTGCAAATTTTTTCACTTATTTCCTTAAAATGAATTTCTGTATGTGGACCTGTTGGTCAAACAGTATGCTTATATTAGGTCTTTTGATACACAATACCAAATTGCCTTAAAAAACTTTTATCGATTTGTACCACTAGGATACAAATGTGTCAGTTTCCCAGGATCTTCGTCAACACTTAATATTATCCATTTTTACATTTATGACATCCTGATAGGCAAAAAAAGAGAAATCATTGTTTTTATTTATTTTCCATTTTGTAAAAAAAAATTAAAATTATCATGGGAACTTAATAGTTGTATTTCATTGTTTTGATTTTCATTTTTGATTACTAGTGAGGTTGAAGATAATTTCATCTGGTACAAAGTTATTTGCTAAAAAAGAAACATATTTTCATATGCTTCTTGGCCAACTGTTTTCTCCTTTTTCTAATTGCCCATTTATGTCTTTTGCACATTTTAAAACAGGGGTATTTATCTTTTAAAAATCAATTTATAATAGCTCTTTATAGACTAGTGATATTAGCCAAATGTGTTACCATACATATAGCATCTTTGCCAGTTTGCCAAATCCTTTAATTTTATTATGAAGTAAATATATTACGCCTTAGCTGTCATATGCTGTTTAAATTACCTTTTGTCATTTGTCTTTTAACTTTACTAATCTTGTGCTTTGACATTTGGAAGCTTTACTTTTATATATCAAGTTGTTATTTACCCATCCTTTGCTTTATAGATTTTATGTCATGTGTAGAAAGTCCTTCTGCATTCCCAAGGCTATAGAAATATCTACCTACATTTTCTTCCACTTCTTTTATATTTTACATTAAGCCATACATGCCTCAATAATATGTTAAGGAGTGGCTAATAATATCATAAATTGACTATCAGGCTTAATGGTAATTGCAGGCCACTGAAGAATTCATTTTACACAGTCTAGGTAAACATTCTAGTGTATGATTATGTAATATAAGACAAAAACCGAATAGAGACACCGTACCTAAATCATACATCACACTGTCAAAAATGACAATGTCAATGAGCCTGCTGGGATGTTGAGCAGGTAAGTATGAGGGATACTGTTTTAACTACCTGGAGTGAAATCCATGCTGAAGGGGGAATTCTCTCCAAATATTCTATTTGAGGGCCAAATATGTGGGGACACAATAGTGAATAAAACAGAGAAGTTTGTTGCTCTTAAAGGGTAACGTAGACAAACATATTTTCAGATTGTTTACAGCAAATAAAACAGGCAAGGGAATGGGGAAAGTCCTTATTTTAGATAGGGTGGTTAGAGAAGACCTCTCTGGAGAGGTGATAATTATGAAGCTTGGATGATAAAAGCACATGTGAAAGTAAAATATTTCAGACTAGGTAAAGTAGTTGAGGTGGGAAAATAGTAAGAAAGCCAGCGTTGCTGTCATGTTATCAGAAAATACAAAAATGGGAAACAGAAATACCCTAAAAACTTAGGAAAGGATGTTTAACTGTGACATGCTGTGTGACGCATTCCCTCGATTCCGTCAGGTGTTACCATCTAAGAAACGCCTCCCTTAACTGTCCTTTTACAAATTCCAACGTTATCAGATTTTCCCACCCTTTTACAATTACCGTCTCAAAGAGACCTCACTGCAATTCCCATTTACCCCTACAGGGCACTTTCCCGGCCTTCTTCCCCGCTTTATTTTTCTCCTTAGCATTTATCACCAACTAACGATATATACTTATTTTTAAAATATTGTCCACCGCCCCCATTAGAGATCTACGAGAACTGGGATTTTGAACTATTTTAATTTCCTAGTTCTCAATTTTGGTCAATTTTAATTTCCTCGGCATCTACAGCGGCACTTGACATACAGTTGGCGCTCAATAAATACATGTTAAATAAAACGTAGGATGCTGTATGAACTTGTCTGGATTGTGTGAATCGATGCCAGATTAGACAAATACCACATTTCTCACTCTCTGAAAAGGCTTCAAGCAGCCAGATGGTGACGTCCTTCAGTTTTCAAAATGTGAAAGCGAAGGTTCCCACAATTCTCAGAACGCGAATTTCTCGCCACAATTCAAAATGGCGGAGGAGGGTGGGGCCTGTCACATGGTGGGCGTCATAGCAGTTTTCCTTTTCCAAACTGCTGCCCGCCTTGCCGCGTCGTCTGCCGTCCCCACCTCCTCCCGCCGAGCCTTTTCGAGGACTAGACTGGGATTGGCTCACAGGCTGGGAGCCGAGCTGCGGCGCAGGGACGCGGCATCATCACTTCCTGTTGTGGGCAGTCGTTTCCTGTCGCCGCTTGGTAACAATGGGGAAGATAATGGCTGCCTGAGCAACCTCTCCGAGCAGGCGCTGGGCTAGAGGCGGGTCTCAACCAGCGACTCATCGGAGGCGGGTTTGAGAGCGGCGGCAGGGGAGGAGGCGCGGAGCAGCCTCGGCGGCGGCAGTCGAGCCTACTGAGTGGGATCCTGACCCTAAAATCGAGTAAGTGAAGACTTGGGAATCCTGTGAGAAATGAATGTAGAACGACGGGAAGACAGCAGAGCAGCGGCTGCCGCGTTCTCTCAAAATGGCCCGGGTGACGCGTCGTGGCGGAGGCTCAGCGCCGCCTCCAGACCCCAGGCCCATTGCTGTGGGGGGCTCCGTGGCGTAGTCGCCGCTGCCATTTTAGTTGGGTGGTATAGTCGATGGGCTCTTTGAAGAAGGGGAAGGAGGTGGGTAGTACTTCTCCCTCAGTGGCCGCGCGAGCTGCCGCCTGGGCCCTCCGGAGCCTTAGGAAATCAGGGGAGGCGGCTTTCGAGTTTTGGCCTCGGGCGTGAGAATCTTAGAATGTCTCGTGTTTTTCTCTTCTCTGTTCTCAGTAGATTTCCCTCGCCTCCCGCGTTTAAATGGCAGGCTTTAGTTTGGGAAAAGGGGGGGGGGGGAATCAGGCTTCCCTAAGTTACATCCTAGGAACTCTTGGGCCTTTAGATTTCCACCGATTGCAAAGCCCCATTTTGAGCCCATCTGCAGGGCATTACCAATTAGACGCCCCCTGAGGCCCCGATGACATCTTCCCTGTGTATCTGAGGCAAATGTGGTTTACTTCCTTGCTTGAATAACACTGGCGTATCCTTTGCCAGGTATCTCTGGAAGGATTCCCCCGCCCCCCCCCCCGACTGCCACCACCACCAAGAGGGAGGGTAAAGCCATTGCGTTTTGTTTTTCCCTGGGTGAGGATGGGAATTGGGCCAAATTATTTTCAAGTTAATTTCTGTTTAATCCGCCAACAACCCCCCCCATAAGACAGCCCAAGGGTCTCGGCTTCTGCGGGCGGTACCTGCCACGTACGCCATAGCTTAGTAACTAGTATTAACCGGTTGGGCTTCTGCTTCCTGAATACTCAGTCCCTTTTTCCCTTATGCTGATTAATTTCAAGATGGAGGAGACAGCCACGTTCCTTCCCTAGACAGTTTCACCATACTTATTCCACAGGTTAGTCTGGGAATCTGAGCCTTAGCAGACTTGTTATTTAGGTCATTTTTTCGTTTGTGGGAAAGAGGACGTGTTTATATCAGATTGTCAGCCACCATTTGCAAGGCCTCACAGTAATTTTTTACTGGAAGTAAGGAGCCTGCATTTCCTGAATCAGAATTAACCACAGTGCTTTTGGCTGATTGAAAGGGAAAGAAATAATAAACGTGCAATTACTAATCATTTATTTCATTCTTTGTGATTATAGACAAAATAACTACTCATGTTACCCATTAGGTACGTTATGTCCATCCTGGAGAACTTAAGAGCAGACAGGCAGTTATAGACCCCCCATCAATTTTCTGAACCGTAGAACTATAGATTAAGTACCCAGAAAGACTAAACTAAACACTTTAAAATAATGTTTTAGGACAGTCTCTTCTTACTGAAAAATATTACAAACATTTTTTGACCTAAGATGTCCTGTTGATTTTTAGTACTTTAGTTCCTGCCTTAGACTAGCGTAATGTGCCAAATAAGTCCTTGAAAGTGACTATTAGATTCTGAAAATTAATTACTGGTCTGATAAGGAAAGGCCTATTTTAAGCAAGCTTATATTAAAAAGTAGATCACCTCTCAGCCTTTAAAGGAAATCGTTTATCTAACTCCTGGTCCCTTCTGACCTTGGTCTCCCCAGATATACTAATATTGAATTAAGTTGGGTTATGGCATGTGTGTAACTAAAATACATAGGATGTGTATTTTTTAGGATGTGTCTATTTCAAAGAAAATGTGTATCTTATAAAAGAGGAAGAATAATGGATTCTTTTTTTTTCTAGAGCAGAGAGTGAAGAAAACTAAAATCCAGTTTATTGTATTTCAATACTATGTCATAACAGTCAGGTAATTTATTTTTTGTTGCGTCTCCTGATGATTTATATGTAGAATGCATGTTTACAAATATTTATTGTTCTGTTTTGCAGGCCCTGTAATTGGATGGGCTCATTGATGTATGTTAGTTGGCTTCATGATGAAAATTGTTACTTTTCACTGGGAATTCAAAGGGTAATGTTTCTGGGTACCTGGAACTCACCAGTGGCTTTATCTGTGAATATTACTTTTTAAAATAATGTCTGAAGTTTACCAATACCTGTATAGAACAGAAAGAACAAAAAAGAAATTTACTGCCTTAAATCATTGTTGAAATGACATGAATATAAACAAACAAAATAACATTTAAGTGTTTATTGGATAAATGAAATGTCAGTAGACTACCTCACAGAAATACAGTCTTACATTATTTTGTGTAGTGCTTGTTTTTTTCCTTTAAGATTCAAAAAGTCCTAATTGATATATGATACTCTTAATTGGTAGTAACTCATTATCATCATCATCATTAAGGTAACCACATAATTTATTGCCCTAACCAGGTACTTTTAAGAGCAAAAGGGACTTTATTAATCATTATTCCTGGACAACAGGTGCAAACCTGGAATGTCCCAGGAAAACTGGGATGAATACTTTAGCAAAAATGAGTAACTTCTGACGAAGGCCATGTGCTTTTTTACATGTATTATTTTATACTCCTCACAGCAAAGCCCCATAAGGACTGTTTTACAGAGGAAACTGAGACTCACAGAGGTTAAGTAATTTGTCTTCAGTTAAATAGCTAGTAAGTAGGGAAGCCCTCATTTTATCCCATGCTTGTCTGACATTAAAGTCACTAAACTTTAATGCCTCTAGACTTGTTTACTATCTAGTTAGATAGGAAAGAATGAAAATGAATGATTATGATTTTTAAAAATCTGTAGTTTGTTGCATCAAAAACTTTTGTTAATACTAAAAAAGGGTAATCTTTATGAAGCAGGTGAGACTTAGCTAGTAATCCTCCCCTTTTTTTGTCTGTTACAATTGTCTGTTACAGTGATTACTGCTCTTGATATAATTTGATAAACAATTTAAAATCAGAAATGGTTTTAAGAAATACTTTAGGATATCTTTCAAGTTAGTGAGCATGTATTGAGGCCTTAAATAATATAGTAGGTCAGTGGGAAATCTGTGTCTATGGAATTATAGCATGTGTACGTTAATTTTTTCATAGCCCTGGTGGATTGGAAATAGAGCAAATCACTGATCAGCCTCCTGTTCCCTTGATTAACTGTAGAGTGAATAACAAATTAGAAAGTGATAAGTCTTCTGTTAGACCCAGACCATTGAGTTACTAGAATTTTGGGTCACTGTTAGTCTTGTTTCTTAACACTTTTTTGTAATACAAAGGTTTCTAAAACCTATGGCCCATTGATTTCAGTAAGTATCCAGTTTACATAATACATTGAAGTTTTGGTAACCAGTGTAAAGAAAGCAATAATACTTCTGTGTCCATTTTTTTCCTTCATTTTTTTCTTAAGCTTGTACGTGAAAACTTCCCAGATAACGAAGCAATTCATCAATTGAGGTGTTTTTGTTTTTAACAAATACACCTCAGTTTGGGGAATATTTATGAACTTCCTTCTGAAATACTTAGTTGGTATTTTTGCTGTAGATTTTCTCATATTTTAGTACTCCAACCTAAGATTTTAATTTCATTAGTTAAAATAGCACCCACATATGTGTGAGATGAATATCTGTAGGTAGCGCTTGGTGTATTATATAGATTTGTGTACCTCTTTAAGTAATTTCACAACTACAAGTTGAACTGCTGTTATAACATTTGACAGGCTAATGGTGTTTGTGTAGTGATGAACATGGTACTTTCTAGGAGAAGGGAGATATTTGTGCTTGATGTTTTCAATTTTTTCTGGAATGAAAAAAGTCCCTTTCCTCTTGATTTCCACTTGACTGTTGGAAGAAGGGAGTTAACTACAATTTCCATATATATGTATATACATTTTTTTTCTACTAAAGTTCCCTTTAGTGTCAATTATAACTAAGGTGACCATATAAATTATCTAAGGTGGGACACTTTTGAGCGTGAAAGAGGGCCATATTAATAATTATTTCAGCACACTTGTAAACCATTAATTACTTTTCTGGACAAACCAGGGATGCATGGTCGCCTTCTTCATTCCACTTTTATATAGGAAAATGTGTATGTTCTGGAAGGACAGTTGTCAGCATGTTTGGTCTTAAATACAAAAAGTGTTTTCCTCAAATAATATAACAGTGATTGGTGTAGATGAAATTTTGTTTTTTGGTCAAGTGATTTTCATTTTTAAAAATTGCCTCTTTTTGAAATGTTTGGTTTTTTGATGGAAAAATCTTATGTTCTTAAAATAGTACCTTAGTTACCAATGAATACCAACCTTCTCTCAGTGATTTTGCAATAATAACTTTTTAAAATAAGCACATGACCTTTTGGGTTTTTGAGTCTTTTTTAACTTGGGAATAATGAGAGAAGGAAGTCAAAATTGAGTTTATGGATAAGACCAAATTCTAATTTAGTGATGTGGCTCAATAAAAGAACATGAAATGGGTAATTGAAGATTAAATTCACTGTCTAAATTAAAGTACTTGAGTGAGATGAAATGTCATCATAATGGTTTCCTTTTTTAACTAACTTGACCCTAAAATTGGCAGCATTTGGCATGGTCTTCAGTCCTTTGATTTACTGAAGTTTTTAATACTCTTTTGATTTAACTGTTTAGAGGTTTAGAGGGTTATAGTAGTCAAGATTGTTTGAGCTGCAAGTTAGTAGACGCATGAGGGACATTCCTGAATCTTTTTTGTTTTTCTCTGCTGTTATTTTCAAGTGGTAAAGATAGAAGGATATAAGTGAGGCTAAACTAACACTGCCATTCAGATAATATTTTATAATCTCTTAATACTATAGTAGAATCATCAGTGGTGGATGCCTTGGTGGCATCCTCTGATAGGCCACTATTGGAAATTTTCAACAAATTGTGTAGTTGATGAGCTGTATTCTACAATAAGGAAAGACAGTGAAACATCAACCCTGTCTAGTTTTAAGAAAAATGCTTTATACTTGTTTAAAAAAGACAAAATAGTCACATAAAGGGAGATGGAAGGGCATAAAGAGTTAAATGGTCATGAGAAAAGCACAGCTTCTCACTTATATCCTAGTTATTCATGTTGTTTCCTAAGCTTTATTTTTTTTGGTTTAATACTGTAATGTGACCTAGATTATATCTTATTCACAATCACAGATTCATAGAGCTAGAAGATACCTTGTCCATGGTTTAATCCAGCACTCTGATATTGATGGTAAATTCTGAAGTACAAGAAGTTAAATGAATTGGCCAAATTCACATAGCAAAGTTACAGCCCAAGACTAGAACTCAGTGTCTTTTTCCTGTCAGAGAGTTGAATTCCACCCCGCTACCCATGTATAGAATAAAAAATCTATCTAGTTGTAAACCATTTATTTGTCATAACTGCCATAAAGTTTTAATTAAACATTCTATATATGAAGAATCCCCAATACTTTTGATGCCTGCATATATGATGATACTGTATGTTCTGACCTCAAATTCAACAGTTCTTTGTGATTTAACTTTTATTTATTTATTTAATTTTGTAAATAGAGGTGGAATCTCACTGTACTGCCCAGGCCGGTCTTGAACTCCAGGCCTCAAGCAATATTCTTGCCCCGGCCTCCCAGATTGCTAGGATTACAGGCATGAGCCACTGTGCCTGGCCCAATTTAACTTTTTTAAAACTTCAGTTTTTATTTTGGTGATGGTTCCAAGAATCACATATCACTAACTCTTATCTCTTATGAAGTTCTTAATAAGGCTCTGTTGAAAACAAAATGATTTATCCCTCTTTTGTCAACGTGACATTTTTGTTGTTGTTGATACCCATGATTTTTTAAAAGTTGACATGTCTTGCTTTAAAACTTTGGGTTTGAGTTTGGAGCTTGAATGCACACTTATGCATGGTAAAAGTGCTCAGCGTAATTTAGTAGTTGGTTGATGTTATGTGACCTTAATTCTTCCCTCCCACCCAACCCCCCTTTTGTTTTTAAAAAAGTAATTTTTTTCAGACTTAGTAGAGGTGGCTTACTTTTTGATACTTACACAAGCATTTGACTTAACGTTTCAGAATTTAGTTTTGTGAGTCTGTTTTGTTAACAATATTTTTTGATGCTGTAAGTCTCCTTGATTGGGTATTATGATGTAGTATGTCCATTAAATATAGTATGTGTGTGTTTGCAGCCAGGCGCAGTGGCTCTTGCCTATAAGCCCAGCACTTAGGGAGACTGAGGCGGGAAGATCGATTGAGCCAGGAGTTCGAGACCAGCCTAGGCAACATAGCAAGATTCCCTCTCTTCAAAAAGTTAGCCAGGCATGGTATCATGCGCTCATAGTCCCAGCTACTCAGGAGGCTGAAGCAGAAGGATCACCTGAGCCCAGGCGGTGGAGGCTATGTTGAGCCATGATTGTGCCACTGTACTCCAGCCTGGACAACAGAGTGAGACCTTGACTCAAAAAAAAAAAAGTATATGTTTATACTTAGTACTAGGTGTTCTGCCCCATTAGTATTGAGCAGTGTTTTTTTTTTCACCCCATACACCTAGAGGGCAATACTGAACAATATGTTTTAAGTGAATTTTTACCTTAACAATATCACAAAATTAAGGTCAGGCACAGTGACTCACACTTGGAATCCCAGCACTTTGGGAGACTGAAGCAGAATTGCTTGAACCCAGTTTGAGACCAGCCTGGGCAACATAGTGAGATCATGTCTCAACAAAAAATACAAAAATTAGCCATGTGTGGTGGCACTCGTTTGTAGTCCCAGCTGCTCTGGAAGCTGAGGCAGGAGGATCCCTGGAACCTAGGGGTTTGAGGCTGTGGTGAGTCAGGATCATGGCACTGTACTCCAGCCTGGGCAAGTGAGACTTTGTCTCAAAAAAAAAAAATTGTAACAGAAGTTGAGATTATTACCAGTGCCTTAAAATTTTCAAAGTGAATAAAATCTGTTTTAAAATTCCCTAACTGAGTAGATCTCAGGTATGGTGTTCTTGCTAGCCTTTCTTTCCTAGAACTACATTTATCTGATACAGTCCCATTCACTTACCAAATGAGTAGTTTTTTGAAATGACTGGGAAAATTTTTTAATGTACCTCCTTGTTTCCAGGAATGGATTTGGATATATTCGCACAAAGAACTCCTAAAGAAATAAGGTTAATAAAATATGCTATTTATCTAAGGTGCAACTGTATTTAAAACAAAAATACTAAAAGTTGACTTAAATGTAAGTCCTATTGGGTTCATGCTGCTTATAAAAGATGTTTTGTCATTTTGAAGTTTTTCATACAAGAAATAAACGTGCTATAAAAAGCTCACAGTGAGATTGAATAGTTTAGTCACGCCTATTGGGATTGAAGGAATGTGTTTTAAAGTACAGAGCAGTGGCCCCCAGCCTTTTTTGGCATCAGGGACTGGTTTAGTAGAAGACAATTTTTCCATGGATGAGACTGGGACCTCATCGGGCATTAGATTCTCCTAAGGAGCACCCAATCTAGATCCCTCGCATGTGCAATTCACAATAGGGTTCATGTTCCTATTGGAATCTAATGGCTGCCACTGATATGACAGGAAGCAGAACTCCACTTGCCTACCACTCACTTCTTTGTGGCCAGTTCCAAACAGTCCTTGGACCAGGGGTTGAGTTCCCCTGGTATAGAATCATGAGATACAGTGTGAGGCAGTTGACTGGATGTGGAGTCTGGTTGATGGAGACCTGGATTTAATTAATACGTTTTTCAACTTTCTAGCCACGTGATCTTTGATCAATCACTTATTCTCTCCATTCTTCTGTTTCTCATCTGTAGAGGTGATTTCTACTTCATGGGATTGTTGTGAGAATAAAATGAAATATAGATGAAAGGGCTGTGTAACTATAGGGTGATGAATATTGCATCTAACCAGGGGGAGATCTGAGTTATTTCAGAACAATTTCATTCTTCAAATTACCATATGTTGTTAGTAATCTCAGAAATATTCAGGTTTAAAAATGACTGATGCTAATCATATGCTCAAGCCACAATTTCTGACTTATGCACATGAATGTTATAAATTAAGAGTGAAATAACTAAAATAGATTTATAATCCTCTTTTATGATAATGTTGGAGGAGTCCCCAGGAGTATATAAGGATTCTTTTTTCCTCTTACTAGTTAAACTGGAAATGTACCACAGTGTTGTTCACCATAAAGTAGAATCTGGAGGCCTATTTTGTTAACAATTCTTCACTAATACTTTGACACCAAAATGAAGAAAGATTTTTATTTGGTCACTTGGACTATAGTTCCCTGACAGCTTTGGCATGCTTTAACCTTTAAAATGTTTTTTTTTAATTTAGCAAGCAGTAGTGGCGTTACACCTACCTGGGGCAAAACTTGGGGTTTAGATGTATTACATTTTTTCATTTTATGCCACTTATGTAATTAAGGACTGCTTAAAATGAGACCAGACTCATTGGGTATATGAGAGTAAGATTAGTTTATAAGGCATTTAAGGGCATTGCTTGCATTCAGAATTTCCTTTTTCTTTCCAAATATGATTACTTCTAGTTCAGAGGACCTCTGCAGATGTTACAGCCATAACTCACCCCTTAAATGTTCCTATAGGGTAGAGATGCCTTGCCAGTGCTGAAATCTCTTGAACCCCTCTCCCAGCTCAGGGGAAATGCAGAATTAAGGCAGAAAGGATGGAGGCTTTGGGCAAAAGTGGGTAAGCAAATTAGATTTTCCCCCTTAGTCCTCTGACAACTACAGGAAACAAACTGTTTCTTTAATGGAAACCACTTTGCAAAAAATAGTATATTCTTTTTAATGAAACCTTGCCAGTTGCTTGCAGTTTTGAAATAACAAGTATGGTGCAGGAATATCATGTGAGGAAAATAGTTTCCTTGATTTTTTTCTGGCATATATATATGGGAGGGTAGGAGAAAGGAAAGCATTATACTATTATGGAAGTAGTAGTAATTTGGATTTGTTCACATATTGCTTTGTGAGTATGTCTCACTGTAGAGATTTTGAATTCAATAAAATTTAAATTTAAATCCCTCTTGTGTGAAATGGAATCCAAGCTTATCAGGCAGGAGCGGCTTAGGATTCAGTAATCACAGTGTCAGGAGAGTTGAATGGAGGTATAATGTTTTTGTCGGTAGTTTCCATGTAGGAAATTATAGAAGTACTAAAAGGTAAAGAGTGAATCTTGAAGATTTCTGAGCCTAGGAAAGAATGATCTATCCCATGTATATTTGTGTATTTTTTATTATTATTACTATTATTAGTATTATTATTATTTTAGAGACAGGGTCTAGCCTGGAGTGTAATGGCACAATCATAGCTCACTGTAACCTTGAACTCCTAGGCTCAAGTGATCCTCATTCCTCAGCCTCCAGAGTAGTTAGGACTATAGGTGTTTGCCACCATCCCTGGCTAATTACTTTTTGTAGGTAAGGGATCCCGCTATGTTTCCCAGGCTGATCTCGAACTCCTAGCCTCAAGCAATCCTCCTGTCTTGGCCTCCCAAAGCACTGAGATTAAAGGAGTGAGCCACTGTGCCCAGCCTTTTATTTATTTTTGAAAAAAAAGGGATGTACAATTAATGGGTTTATAGAGCATGGATAATATATTGGGAACATTTGAAACTCTTTCCTTATGTGAGATTTCTCTACCTTGCAATAAAATACTTTTAAAGTTGTGCTGTCCAATATGGTAGTCACTAACCACGTGTGAATGTTGGACACTTGAAATGTGGTTAGTGGAACTGAAATTTAACTTTTTTAATTTAAATTAAACTGAAGTAGCATAAAATATATTTCCACTAAACACAACTTTATTATTTTGGTAGAACTACATTCCACTTTATCTGTTGAAAGTTTAGCATCCAACTTGTGATGTGCTGTAAGTATAAAACACATATCAGGTTTCCAAGACTTTAAAAAATACAAAACATCTCAGTGATTTTTTTCATATTGATAACATGTTGAAATGATGTTACCTTGGTAATGTTGGGAAAATGAGCTATATTAAAATTAGTTTCATGTGTTTTTACTTTTTTAATGTGGCTGCTTGATATTTAAAAATTACATATATAGTTTGAATTGTTTTCGTCAGGACTGCTTCAGACAGTTAGATTATTAAGGAAAATAAGTTCAGTGTTTACATTGGATTTGGTTCAGTCATTTAAATATCCAGTGTGCAAGGTATTGTGCTAGTAGTCACTAGTTTTAAAGGGACTATAATTCTGGTTCTTTCCCTAAAGGAAACTACTTGGGAAGAGAAGATACATGCACTTCAAAAATATAAAACTTCATGGAAGACAGGAAGTGACACTCTAGTGGCACAGACAAGTGCTATATGCAGAGATGGATGGAAAATTGCTAGCTGAGATAGTAATAGCTTCTTAGGAGGTAAGATTTCATTGGACCTTGAAGGGTGAATGAAATAGGCAGAGACTAGGAAGGGGCTGAGAGACCAGCAGTAAAGTGTAAAGGTAAAGCACAAGATATGTTAGAAGGTGAGGGTTTGGGACAACCTAAGTGGATCAGTCTTGGCAAAAAAGTGTTATAACTTGTGTTACAGGAGTATGTACTTTAATATGACCCTAGACCAGAATAGAAGATCAAAGAGATTGGCTGGGCTCCATGCCTCAGCCAGTAATCCCAGCACTTTGGGAGTCTGGGGCAAATGAATTGCCTGGGCCCACGGGTTTGGGCCAGCCCAGGCAACAAGACCTCGTCTCTACAATAAATAAAAAATTAGCCAGGCATGGTAGTTTGTGCCTGTAGTTCCAGCTATTCGGAAGGCTGAGGCGGAAGGATCACTGGAACTCAGCAGGTCAGTGCTGGAGTGGCTGTGAGTATGCCACTGTACTGCAGCCTGGGCAGCAGAGTGAGACTCCAACTCAAAAAAAAAAAAAGGAAGACTTACTTTATTTGCTTTCATATTTTTTTCAACTGTTGACTCTAACTTGACCCTATGGTTGTGCTCTTTTTCATGTTACACCTCTCTAAATATCTGAAGATTGTAATTATGTCCATTTTTAGTCTGTCTTCAGGCTAAATATCTCCAGGTAGTTCATCCATTTCTTTTTTAGCGTTCCCAGGTTTCTCACCATCTGGATCACTTAGATACTTTCTCATGTCTGTCAGTGTCCTTTTGAAGATATTTTCTAAGTGTTTCAGATACTCCACATGTAGTCTCAGCAGTAAGACTTTCAGTGGGACTGTTAATTGCTTTTATTTGAACACTTGTCCATGAAAGCAACCTGTGATTCTGTTAAGTTTCTTAGGTCAAACAGGGTTTTTATTGAGCTTGTGTTAGCTAAAAACTTTGACATTGTTTTTACGTGGACTGCCAAGACAGGTTCTTCTCTACTCTGTACTTTTACTATGGGTTATTTTCACTGATAGTCCTTAATAAAGTGTTTAAGGTAGCATGTTTATATTATCTATCTTTATTTCAATCCGTCTTCACAGTTTGCTAATAATTCAGAATATTATTTATCATGTACATCTTCTATGCTAACTCCCAACTTAATTTTGTTTGTAGATTTGTTAAGCATGTCTTGGGTAGATTTATCCAAGTGGTTCATTTTAAAATGCTAAAGTTAACAGGGCTGTTTGCAGGTTAACATTGCTCCGTAGTCTTTGAGGGAGGTATTCAGCAACTGTGAATCTATTAAACTGTATTGTCATCAAGCCCCTTACTACTCAGTATGATTATAGGTTCAGCAGTACCACCATCACATGGTGGGTTATTAAAAATACAGACTTGGCTAGGCTCGGTGGCTCAGCCTGTAATCCCAGCACTTTGGAAGGCCGAGGTGAGTGGATTGCTTGAGCCCGGAGGTTTGAGACCAGCCCGGGCAACTTGGCGAGACCTCATCTCTACAATAGATTTTTTTTTAAATGCAGAATCTCAGGCCCCACCTCCAACCTACTGAATCAGTCTGTATTTTAATAAGATTTCCACATTTCTATGTACACTGAAGTTTGAGAAGCACATTTCATCATAATGATAGTAAGAGAAATTTCAGATCCCGTGTAGAAACCAAGTCAGTAAGTCAGCAGTGGTATCCTGATGTACCTATTAAAGAGGTTCTCAGCCCTGACTGCGAAATAGAATTACCTGTGGAATTTAAAAAATATGTGTGTTTGGCCAACCCCAGAGGAAGCTCCTCAGGTGATTCTAATGTGCAAGCCAAGGTTGAAAAACCATCCTTATGGTAAAGTAAATGAGGTTAATTTGGCAATGAACCTCACTCTGGTAAACATAATTTCTTCTACATGTTTGCAGTTTATTTGAAGCTCTCTTACAGAATTTCCCTCTAGGTTTATTGTCAGATTTTACTGCTCTGAAGTTCGCAGACCTCACTTTTGTTGAGGATTGGATCATTTTTTAAAATCTAGTTCTTTTGTTGTTGTTGTTTTCTATGGCATCTCAAAGATTATCGTTAGAAGTCCTGCAGTCTTGGCTAGTTCTCTTTGAAAAGTTTGTTTTTTCCACTTTTTCCAGTTGGAAAGTGATTATCATTGAATAAAATAGAAACAAAGTAGAAGTTTTGTGACTCTACCTTCCAGATTCTGTTAACATGCTGGACACCCACTCCATTCTCAGTACAAGACTTCTTTCTTGTTTCCAATTATATTTTTTAAATCTTTCCCATATTTGTGTAAATTTTGTTCCTTCTGGGCCTTAATCTCCCTGATGCTGTTCTTTTGAGTCAGGGTCTCAATTCCATTGCCCAGGCTGGAGTGCAGTGGCACAATCATGGCTTACCATACCCTCGACCTTGTGGGCTCACACGGTTCTTCTGCTTCAGCCTGAATAACTGGGACTATAGGCATACGCTAGCACATCCAGCCATCCAGTTAATTTTTTTGATGTTTTGATTTTGAATTTTTGGTAGAGGCGAGATTTCATCATGTTTCTCAGGCTGATCTCAAACTCCTGGGATCAAGCAATTCTCCCACTTCAGTCTCCCAAAGTGCTAAGATTACAGGTGTTATCACCATACCTGGCCCCTTAATGCTATTCTTAAGACTTTGTGCCACTCTTGTTTGTAACTGTCCTTGGCAAGTAAGTTTCCTGTTATCTTTGGGTCATGTCTTTCAAATGTCAGAACTTACCAGACTTCTTTAGAAGATTTCTATTTTTCAAGCCTTGTAACCGTACAGCTATTTTCAGAACTATTTACTGATCCTTCATGAGTGGATTAGTCTTAACATTCATGTATTAGTGTTCAAAATATTAACTGCTTTAAGAACATTAGCTGAATGTTCATCACTAATTTGAGAAACTATAGCTGAAGTTTATTTATTTATTTTGAGTCAGGAGTCTCACACTGTCACCCAGGCTGGAGGTAGTGGCATGATACAGCTACTGCAGCTTTGACCTGCCGGGCTCAGGTGATTCTTCCACCAAGACTACAGGTGTGTGTCACCATCCCCGGCTAATTTTTTTGACTTATCATAGGGATGAAGTCTCGCCATATTGCCCAGGCTGGTCTTGAACTCCTGGGTTCAGGCCATCCTCTTGCCTTTACCTCCTAAAGTGCTGGGATTAAAGGCGTGAGTCACTGCACCTTGCCTGAAGTTTCTTTTTTCTTACGTGCTTTTCTGTATTTTTACAAATCGGCTGCTTTTACCATTTCAATACCAAATTGTATTACTTGAGATGCCTGTGGAAAAATTTGGCTTCCTTTATTTATTTGGTTTTGGTGGGGGATTTTGCATGGTTTTTTTTCCCCCGGTTGTTTTTTAGTGTCTGGCCCATATAACATTTTTATGAGTCTTTTATTTAAGCTGCTGCTCTCTAGTCTCAAAGTTTTAAGTATTATAAAATCAGTATTTGTCAGAAATTTCTATAATTTAGTTTTAATCAGAATTAAGGAGTCTTAGTTATGAGACTAGGAAACTCTGAAAATATTGTGGTCTCCCTGCCCCCTTCCTTGACATGCTCATCTTACTTAAGCAATGATAGGATCATTCTAAGAATAATGATCTAAGGAAAATGGAATGGAAATCTAGGTGTGCCCATGTCTAGACTAAAATTTATTTAAGCTTTGCAAGCAAGTAGAGTTTGATAAGATAGGCATGTTTGTATTTTTATATCTGGAGGAGGGTTTTTATTTTTCTCTTTAGGATTGTTTTGTGAACATTCTGGTACTTCATGTGTTGTGGAGGGGGTTAAATATTACTACTGATATTGAAACTACCTTTTTTCCCACAACAAATTTTCATATAGTCCTAGTCTGTTCAGGCTGCAGTAATAAAATAATCATAAATTAGGTAGCTTAGCTTATAAACAACAGAACTTTATTTTTCACAGTTCTAGAGGCTGGGAGGTCCAAGACTGAGTTGCCAACAGATTCAGTGTCTGGTGAGGGCCCAATCATAGATAGCTGTCTTCTCACTAAAACCTCCATGGCACAAAGGGCAAATGAGCTGTCTGAAGATTGTTTTATAAAAACATTAATCTCATTCTGCAGGGTTTCATCCTCATCACCTAATCACTTTCCAAAGGTCCTACCTCCTGATGTTACTTTGGGGGTTGGGATTTCAACATGTGAATTTTGGGCAGGCACAAACATTCAGACCATAGCACATATGTTCATGGAATTAAGTTTTGTCTATGTGAATTGAAGGTGAATCTAGGGATGGAAGGAAAATAGAGTATTTGTTTGTAGTTTTTCTGTATTTTAGATTGTTGACTACCACGTTTTTCATTGATGTGTGGTTAATTGAGAGTGTCTGGAAATCTGCTAACATTCTAGTTTCTTTAATCTTGTGCAAATGGTAAATGATAAATAAGAATTTTTGACTAAGTTTATGTATTACCTGGAGCAAGAGTTAGCATACTTTTTCTGTAAAAGGCCAGATAGTATTTTAGGCTTTGCAGATCAAAAAGCAAAATTGAGCATATTATTTAGTTAGTTATATTAAAAGAGGGAAACCAAATTTCCACAAAATTTTTCTTGACAAAACTCAAAATGCAATAACATTTGAGTATAGTGTTTTGTAATATAGGTTTACTAATGAGATGAATGACATTCTTTTTGAGGGAGTAACATTTTTCTTAATTGAGATTCAAAGTTAGTGTTTCTACCAATCATTTATAAATGTCATCTACTATTGCTGATCAAAATAAAATTTTACATCTTTCATCTTTGAAAATGTTCTTTCATGCATATAGGCACTACTATCTTAAGCAATCTATAAGCATATGACTTTAATGAGCATATTCATCTTTTAGAAGACACTTATAGATTCTACTCTTAATATTTACCTTTTGTCATATCAGTACACTGCAGAGTTATCACTTCCAGTTCCGGGTCAGATGTAAGCTCCTCAGTTGCACAGTTAAGTGGATTTTGAAATAGCAAAAATTTTTTGCACTTACAATAAGGGTTTACAAAATGCTTCTGGAACCATAGTTTGGGCTCAGAAAACATATAAGCATTGTTTGCTTTGTTACTTTAGGTTTGGTTTATTAAGAAACATAATCAAGTCTATATCAAAAGCTAATTTGCCAAGCCATTTATTTAATAATAGTTATTGAGGACAATTCTTCTCATTAAAAAAAAATTCCATGTTTACCCTGAGTACAGTAAAACTTTGCCAGTGTTAAGCCATCAAATGCAGTCTGGTAGAGCAAGTCAAGATTTCTGACAAAACTACATGGAACTGGCAACGGTTATGTCCACAAACGTGAAGTTATCATTAACACTACTGATTCAATCATGATTTATCATCATGATTTCAAATATTTTCTGCAGGGTACTTGTTGATGGATAATAAAATGAATATCTGTAGGCTTTAAACACCTTAGATTTTATAAGCTTTGTAAGTTTCTCTAACTAGGTCTCTTTTTTTACTCTGTACATATTTTTCCCATTTTATTTGTAACATATCTAGTTAGCAGATTCTGCTGACTTAGTGTTTTCTCAACTTCTTTGAAAATATTCTCACCTGTAGTTGTTTCGTGCAGAATATTCACAGAGGGTACTTCTGCAGTTGAAACTCCTTGAGTAATCAACAACTAAATAGTATCAGTTATATTTGTCGACTCATCAAGACCCAAGGCGAAATCTGCTCCATCATTTGCCTTGTTTCTTTAGTGGCATTGCTTTCAGTATCCGCAACATCTTGTACAACTGTACTTGGCAAAAGGGCAGTATTCTTAAGCAAGTTTATTTTCTCGACACATTTCTTCAGCTTCTGTATTGAAATACAATTTCACTAACTTACCATTGATGAACACCTTTCCTTTCTTTAGCCAACAAATGAGCCACTTGGAAATTTAATTTGGTTGAAGGCTCATTTGTATTTTTTATTTTTGTGAAGAAACACTTTATGATGAGATTTTAAGTTTTCTAACTTTTTAGACTTCAACTTTCCTGTGAGTTAGGGATATTGTGACTAGTGTTTACTCTGATAATATCAGTGTATATTATATTACTTTAGCATAGTTATAGTGGCTTTGTATGATAAACACATTATTTACCATCTAATCTAATAACAAATAATCCTTTCTCTGCTGTGTCTTTAAGTATGACATCCAGATCTACTTTTCTTTTCATCTGACAAGAGTGTACTGGTAACTTTTTAAAATGTCACAGTGTGATAGCACTTGAAATGTTGTCAAGTTATAACTGTATCACTGCAACTTAGAGTGCACAGAGCAGCAATGCAAAGCAATAAGAATACAACATATAGTCTGTCATAACTGCTCAACTCTGCCTTTAAAGCACAAAAGCAGTCATAGACAACATGTAAATGAATATGTGTAACTGTTCCAATAAAACTTTATGAACACTGGCCGGGCTCGGTGGCTCAGCCTGTAATCCCGCACCTTTGGGAGGCTGAGGTGAGTGAATTGCCTGAGCCCACGGGTTTGAGACCCGCCTGGGCAGGCGAGACCTCATCTTTACAATAAAATCAAAAAATTAGCCGGGCGTGGTAGCGCACACCTGTAATTCCAGCTACTCGAAAGGCTGAGGCAGAAGGATCACCGGAGCCCAGCAGGTCAAGGCTGTGGTGGCCAGGAGCGACCACTGCACTCCAGTCTGGGCAATAGAGTGAGACTCCAACTCAAAAACAAACAAACAAAAAAACTTTATGAACACTGAAATTTGAATTTCATGATTTTCACACATCACAAAATGTTATTTTTTAACCCTATAAAAGTATAAAATAAAACCTTTCTTAGATTGCAAGGAAAATAAAAATATGCAGTGGGGCTGGATTTGACCCAAGGGCTGCGGTTTGCCAACCCCTGACCTAGTCTTAGTATAACAGTGCTCTTTAGGAGCTTTTCTGTTATGAAATTTTATTTATTTGAGGTCTTAAATCTGCATCTTGACCTACATTCTGGATTTTCGCATGATGAAAGTTGTTGTATAGACTACATAGTGACTTGTTGTCAAGTTTGGTCTCCTTTCTCTTTTTAGATAATTTTCCACTTGTTCATCAAGATGGAAAACTCAGATTCTAACGATAAAGGAAGTGGTGATCAGTCTGCAGCACAGCGCAGAAGTCAGATGGACCGATTGGATCGGGAAGAAGCTTTCTATCAATTTGTAAATAACCTGAGCGAAGAAGATTATAGACTTATGAGAGATAACAATTTGCTAGGCACCCCAGGTATGCTACATGTAATTTAAAGACATACATGTAAATTGTTGGATTTTTAAAAAAAAAATACTTTAACCTGTTTTAAAGATATTTCTTTAGCCATTATGAAATACTATTTAATATAGGGGATATGGAATGACATTTACTGCTATATTTATTACCTGATTGTATTCACTTGTGTTTGGAATTATACTATATCAGAGATATTTTTTAAGTTATTACATTATGAATTTTTGGTGAGCTGAATTAAAAATGAAGCTAAACAGTCTTTTTGCTCTTGTTTTATTTAACTTACTAGATATGGATTCAAGTGTAGGATAGCTAATTGGAACTTAGATCCTAGGACAGACTTATTCTATTTTGTCATCTCTGATTTTCTGAATATGTCCCAATTGTTATCCTCCAGAGCTAGCCTTGGGTAAGATAGCAATTAGAACTTTGTGCTTAGTTATTTTCTTTACCCCACTAAGTCCCATTTAATTCTAGTTAAAATTCAGTATCTGTCTTCTTCATTTCTGCTTAGTTCTACTAACCTTTAGGTGATTGCTTAAATTTTAAAGGTAAGGTTTTAAGACTGGGCATAGTGGCTCATGCCTACAATCCCAGCACTTTGGGAGGCAGAGGTGAGAGGATTGCCTGAGCACATGGGTTTGAGTCCAGCCTGGGCAACTGGGCGAGACCTCTTCTCTACGATAAATCAAAATAATTAGCTGGGTGTGGTGGTGCACACCTGTAGTCCCAGCTACTTGGAAGGCTGAGGTGGAAGGATCGCCTGAGCCCAACAGATCGAGGCTGCGGTAGCTGTGATTATACCACTGTACTCCAGCCTGGGCGACATAGTGAGACTCCAACTCAAAAAACAAAAAGCAAAAGGTAAGGTTTTAGCATGAATTTTAAGACAGGGAGTGCATTTTGATCCAACAATAACAGACTTAAATCAGAATGCCTTTGTTGGAGTTCTAGTCCTGCTCTTATTCAGTGTGGCTTATGGCAAGTCAGTCTGTTTCCTCATTTTAAAATGCAGATAACGCCGGGCTTGGTGGCTCAGCCTGTAATCCCGCGCCTTTGGGAGGCTGAGGTGAGTGGATTGCCGGAGCCCGCAGGTTCGAGACCCACCTGGGCAACTTGGCGAGACCTCATCTCTACAATAAATCAAAAAT